AATCAGAGCTGGGTTTAATAATGTGCCAACGGACGCATTTAAATATCCGACCCTTATCATAAACTAATACATGGTTCCCAATCGTAGATGATTTTTACTGCAGTTACAACGTAATATTTAGTTTATTCAATATTTTAATGATGTAAAATACTGTACACTTTACATAAATTCATATAACGTCATCCACAGTTGTACTTAAATTGACTCACGAAACCGTGAAGTGAACAATACATTATTATAATATGTAGGTACCTTATATAATATAGGATTGGATGAAATGGCCTAAAAATCTAAAAATTACTATTTTGCTAATATTATAAGTTAATTACATTTTCAGTTTATAGAGTAAAAATGTAAAATAAAACAATTATTAGACCGAAAAAAAAACAACAAATTTTCAGTACCAATAAAGACATAAGATACAAAAATGGTTTAATAATAGTAAGAAATGCGTAAAATTTAAAATAACAGCTATGTGCCTATGTAGATAATATGTATAATCTAATATAACAAGATAACAACTAGTGCATACCTAAATGAACACCTGTCTAATAATAATAATAATAAGTTATACTTCATTATTTACTTCCGTATTCAGTATACGCTGATATTTTTTGTTTCTAAAAAACTTGAGATGGTTTTCTTTGAGTACTTTTAAATTAGAATTATTTTGTCATTGCTTAACAGTTTATTTTTATTCTTTGATACTTTGATTATCTTAAATTAATCTTTTCGAATGCATTAAAAATTTTTTTTTAAAGGTACTTATAGTTGAAACACTTTAAACCAATTTATATCTTATGCCATAATACACATTTAATTAATAATATAAGATATTTCATCTCCTGTTTGATGAACTTATCTAACAATTTTTATAACGAAGTTAGGTATAGATTAATTTAAAAATACAAATCATTTTATCATTTAATTTTTGTATAGGTATTATATAGATAACAAAACCGATTGTTATAGGTTTATCGTGAAACGTAAGTGTTGGCACGTAATAACATATTGTGAGGTATTTTTCCATAGATTAAGGAAATGTTGAAATTACAATATAATCTGTTTTTTCCATTTATTAGCATAAAAATATTTTGCTATCATGTTCAGAGAGTTGGTATATAATATAAAAGTGTTGTTAGAGGTGCACCTCTTAGCTATACTGCAGTACCAACTAAATAATACCGTCTGCGCGAGAAATAAAAACATTTTTAAATTTAATACGCAATAATAGGATGATAACGTGTCCCATAATACGATGATAATAATATTCTGACGTCCTCATTGGCATGTATTAAATAATATGCACACTCTAAGCACACGCTTCACCAGCCATGTCGTCCATGTATAATATGTATTATATGTATCTACTAATATATAATATACATATTAAACCGTACGTAAGACTCGTAAGAGATATCCAAATATTGTTGTTGTTATTACAAACTGACCTACGCCGTATTTTCATTACTCTGTCAATAACAGGCACGTGGTTTTATTTTTGAAATGTCAGAGTATGACCTCATTCACCGCATACTACCCCCTGTATAAAATACGCCGTTTCGGTATCTGCGGTAATATATAATTATTATACTTGTGTATAATACTAGGTATTAGAGGTACCTACATAAATGTATTACCGACACTTGCGATAGCCGAGCACACGATATAGCAGCTACTGTCCTATAATTCAAAATATTTTATCTTCGGTTCACAATACATTCATATTAAGATATATAATATATTCAAGGGTGTGTTAACAACGTGCAAATCATATCTGTAGGTATATTATGTTCGATGACATGACATTATACAAAACGCATATATAAGATATAACATATACAGTATTTCCGATGTTCTGTATTTAGGTATTTGAAACGGACATAACAATAGTATATATAGGTACCTATACATAGACAATAATGACAATATAATATATACTATGTAGTATATATAAAATGTATAATACATAGTATATTAAATACATAGAGTGTCATTGTATAGATGAATGGATTTGACCATTATTATTTTCAAGTCTCGCAATAAATCAAACGTCTTATAAATAAATTGATGGTTGTAACGCGTAGAAATGTGATACATAATAATATTATACCGACAAGCTTTGTGTATTTGTAATTTGTATAGAATATGCAATACAAATACAGTACACATGCATCCATCAAGTACATGTTTATGATTTGATACGAGTTTCAGTATATTCACATATTATACGCAAAAGATATATGCGATTAAAAATAATAATATGGGCCGGTATACAATATATATAGGTATATAGTATATTGTATATATAGTATATAAGTAAGTATTTATTAAATTAATTTTTTCATATCGTCATCAAAAAACAATTAATTAGTTGCCTAATATCTAAGTTTAGAACACTATATACTATATACATATAGATTACTATAGGTTACTATATTGTAAATTATATGAATTTAGTAATATTAGGGGTGTGTTCCCCTGACACCCCAAGGTCATAATGTCGACCTGAAGATTGTTTGTTATTATGTTATTTATTATGTACCTATAACAATTTGTAACCAAAAAAACAATTTTTCGTATGATAAATAGCTTATATTTATGTCATATATTATTGTTATAAACAGTTGAATCATTAATTGGAAAACTGCGTGATAAATTCTGGTTGCTAGTGTAACTTTACACCAGGACCAGAACTCCAACCATTAAATAAATACAATTATTTGTACTTGAAAATGGTTTGGTATTTTGTTAATACTTTTTGCTTCGTGAGTAACATATCCAAATAGACAATCTGTTTTTGGAATGTGAATGAACTTTAGTACTTATAGTACCTGCGTGCGCGAAAAGTGCGTTTTTAGTAGTATTGGTGTGCCTACTGCCTATGGGATCTGCTCTCTGATTAAAATGTGTATAACAATAATGTATGCCATAAATATACACTATCATAAAAATTAACAATTTAATAAATGCAATTTTTCCGGAAAAATGAATTCAATATTTATAAATATATTATATTGAATGTAATTGTATAAATCCTTGTTAAATAATGTATTAATGTACATATTTTTTTTTAATTGGATAACTCACGGCAACACACGCCATTGGGTTTGTGGGGAGGGAACTGTGGAGTTTTGGGTTGGGTATAGGTTGGTACACGTGTGTATTGTGTTTTGGCAGAATTTCTAAAGGGGGCACCCGTAGGTTTCTGCCATGCCCCGGGTGGGTGATGGCGGCACTTGTTCTCCGGACACCGTGACTTGTCCGAGGTATCGCCTTAGGCCACTCGGCCACTCCGTCCCCCTAATGTATATTATATCTTTACTAATCTACAATTCATTTTCAGTAGAACTAATTATCTTTATCGTTATTTTTATTTATCATTCAATTAATTTTAGTTAGATTACTTTTAGTCTTTAGATTTTGAGATTTTGGAGCAATACATGTATATTTTTAATTTTATTGTTTTTTTTGTCTGTATTCAAGAAAAATAGGAGGAAAAAAATGCATACATTTTCAATTTTGATTTGGATCTAGTTGATACTTTTAAAAGGTCAAAATTAAAGATTCCCAGTACTTTTATAATAATCAGGAAAAACAAAAAAAGAAAATTAAAGAAAAATGGGAATTTTACGTAAAACCAGTTTTTAACAAATTCGATTGGTACTTATTGTTTTTTCCGTGTAACTCAAAAACAAATTACGGTAGATATTTTCCAAATGTTTAAAATATTAGCATTTTCTAAACATAATACAATTTTAAAAATATTTGACGATATTCAAAATTTTTATGGATTTATATTTGACATTTTTTATTAATTTTTTTCTTCTTTAAATGTCAACAAAAATGTTTTACTCGGTCAAAAAGTTTGAAAGTTTAATGAAAGGTACCGCATAGTTTTTCATTTATCATTTAAAAATATCAAAAATACAGAGTTACAGTAATTTTTATAAGCGTTTAAAGTTTGAATTTTGACGAAATTTATCAAAATCGTGAAAATGCGAAAATGATTTTATACTTAGAAATGTATAAACAAATTTACAATAAATTAAATTTTTTAAAAATGTAATACAAGATTCTTAATAATTGCCCACCTTTTTTTATTTTACTTTAAATATCACTTGCCCGTTAAGTATACGTATTAGGTATACATGGAATCGTATAGAGGTAATGAATGAAAATATAAATATATAAACCAATTCAAACTTTGACTTATAACTTTATTTTGTATATACTATATAGTTATTATTATCTATTTTTGCAGGTAATGGTATGCCACTTCTGAGGTCATCATAATTCATAATATCATATTTATATTTGTTCTATACGCAAATGATTTACAATATTTTGTTGTCACTCTTAATCACTCTTAACCACAAAACCGTATAGTCGATCTCAAGCAATTATTGACTTAATTAATTTGTAATGTTTTTGGAATGTCATTTGAGTATAATTTGGACTTCTCCTGTCTAATTTGTTTTGGATTGCACCTATATATCACTCATATTCATTGGCTCAACTAGACATTTGAAGTAGGGGGTGCTTAAGCTCCAGGTTTTTTTGTGATTCAATGAGACCTAACACATAACTAATTTTTAGGGGCTGCTTATTTTGACTTAAGGGGTGCTAAGGACCCAAAGCACTCCCCCCTAGTTTGCGTCAATGCTCATATTTGATATGCTTTTTTGATGCTTCAAAATATGAGGACATATAACAATATTGTTTTAAAATATAAAAATTATTACTTTTCTTTATATGAAATATGAAATATATGAAGTACCTGTAGGCAACTCTGTAGGAGTATTAAACAAAATACAATTTTAATTAGCCACACTAAATTCCGTTATCACCCACAATAAACAATAACATGTCACCATTACCACGGAGACAGCCCGATAAAACAAAATCGTCAAAACATCCGCAAGTCCCACCGATAAAAATAATTTATCAAATACAATATTACCAATTACCAAACACATAGTCTCTGATAAAGACGACAATTATTTCGACTGGTCTACATCCAGTTGAGATAAACTAGCAAACATAAGAAGTACTCCATCCACGAGATATTTCTCCCAAAACAAAACAATCAACAACAAACACCGCTTTGGCGCTTTCGTATCTAAAAACAAATACTGCCTGTTTGCTATGAGTAACGATGATGATCTAATGGATACAAATACATCCTCCCACTCTACCACGGTAACACTTGTAAAGACTTCTTTCACCCAACTAACACCGCCACCACCGCCGATTTTCATTAAAGTTGATATAATCAACTATCAAATCGTCTGTGAATCAACCAAATCACTAATCCGGCCGGACATTTTTGTCTGCAAATCCTCCGTCAATGGACTAAAACTAATTACATACACAATCGGGGCTTACCGAAAAACAATAAAATTCTTAAAAGAAAAGAATTCTTACTTCCATAAGTACTAAATCAGGGAGGAAAAACCATATCGCGTGGTTATTAGACATATCCACCACTCCACTCTGCAGGTTGATTGTATACAGGTAGAATTAGAGTCGTTATACTTTATAACCAGAAATATCACAAACGTTATCCATTGACAATCCAAAACACCTCTTCTTCTCTTTTTGTTGACCTTGAGCCCACCCCAAATAATAAAGATATACTAAAAATGTATACTCTCTACTACTTAAAAATTAAAATTGAAAACCCCTACCTATAGACGTAGTATGGTTCAGTGTACGAGTTGTCAATCGTATGGCCACACTCAAGTTTATTGCAACCACCAACCGGGTTGCTTAAAACGTGGCGAAGATCACCTCTCAAACGTTTGATAAAAAAAAAAAACAAAAACTCTCTAGTAAAGTGTGCACTATGTACTATGTAGCAAACCCCACACAGCCAACTACAGAGGCTGCCAAGTATACAAATAACTACACAAATTCAATCAAAGAATAAAATATATAGTAGCAGTAACCTAGTAAAACTGTGTATTTGAATTTGAACACAAGATTATTTCATCTATTCTGTGGTTGAATCATGTCTACTGTCAATAATATGTGTTGTTACTATCAGCTATCGCATTTTATATAGATTTTAAGGTTCATGCACTGTTAAAATAAACTTTTAAAGGGGACACGACGTGTTCTCGACTGACTCAAGCTGCTGCTTTATAACGCGATGTACAGTCATCAAGCACTGCAGTGTGCTTACGTGTGCACTGACGAACCGAATTATTGCTCTAAATTGTGTAAATTTTAAGGCGTTGCCATTAATTACCTATTTAATATTATGCATGTACGTTAGCCAATACCCAGTTGAGAATAAACAATATTATAATATATGCAAAACATAAATGATTATGGTGAACTATATGATGGAAATGTAATCTTAAATATAATATTGTATAGGGATGCTGCATGTTCGCAAAACTGCAAACATTAAAAACACATTACCAGTTCCACACAATCGATTAATAATATTTGGAATGTTTTCAACTCCTTATCTTGCAAAGTTGTCTTATCTGAGGTTTCGAAAATTATTTGAAGTCGTCCTTTAAATACTAATCATCGTTGCAGCATCTGGAGTTAGATGACTGGATACGTTAGCAATATAATATTGAGTTGAATAATTATAATTAGAGCAATCGTAACTATTTTAAAACGTACTTATACAACACCCAAATAAACCAAGATAAGTAATGAAACTAGAACTCGTTAACAAAACTGAAATAAAATGCTCAAACCTAAAAACAAAATAAACCACGACCATTAATTATCGTCATTATATTCCGTTTTCAACCAAAATCTGCAAATAAATGGGTTTATTTTTATAGAAGTCTGATTGACATCATGGTTGAAATATACAAGGTTATTGCATATATACATATTCTCAATCAAATATTTTATGAGGAAGACAAAAATGGCAGCGTTAAGGGATCAAATAATAATCTAATATATATGAGCGGAACTGCGGGAATTTTGAATTGGTTAGCTTTTGTCACGGTATTTGGGATGATAAGAAAAATTCATATTTTTGGTATGATATCCTTTTACTCAGCCATTTTCTTTCAGATGATAACAATCTAAGTCAATATGCAATATTCTGTATATTTCAACCATGATTGACACATAATTTATTTGTATATATATTAGTTTCTAAGCGGAGAAATAAATGTATTGGATTAACAACGATGTATGTTTTTTTTTGTCTATCTGTTCAAAAATATACCTTTTGGAGCAGTAAAAACTAAAAATGCTTCCATTTTAGCTTTTGAGGATGGTTTCTGGTGTTAGGTATTGGATCTAGTTGATATTTACTGGTCAAATGTAAAAAAATACATATGAAACTTCTAAGTTTTTTTCCATTTTTGTAAGTACCTACTATAATATTTTTGTTTGTAAGTAAAAATGCTTGAAAATTTAGTACAATGTTTTTCATAAGTAAGTTTTTCTTAGAACAATCTTAAAATTTAAAAAAAAAGCATAATTATTATTTATAGACATTTGAATTTTTCATTTTGAAAAAATTGGATATTTAAATAAAATATAATGATTTTCCTCTATTTTAACTATTAAGTGGTAATTCAAAAAATACATTAGCCAATGCAACTTTTTGCCTTTATGAATACTATTATTTTTTTATATACAATAACCTCTTAGAAACATTTGGAATTTTATACGACGAGTTTATAGTTTATTTACACCGTTTACAACAAGTGCTATTTTGCTGTTTTGAATTAAGTTTTAACAATAACAATAATGTATGATATAATATTACAAAAATAACTGTCAGTTACTAAAATAATATACGTGATGCTTTTTAAAAACTTAAGTTCATAAAAAGGTTCAAGGTACTAATAGAAAAATGAATTACTTATAATAATATAAATAAATTATAAAATATCTTTAGGAATATAGGCTGGTGCATACTGCATAGGATATTAGTACATATAGCGATAGTAATAAATATTTTTTTTGTTTTTGATAGGTACTTGTATAAGTACTTGCAGTTATAGATGTCATAGTTTAAAATATTCGATTTCAGATATTTTTTTTTCGTGTTTCATGCATTTGATCTAATAAACCTCATCTCAGTAATTTAGATAAGCAAATTCATTGTATTATTTTAAATAGAATTTCTTGAATAAATGTGTTTGTTCTTGATATTATATTTTTAGTGTAATGAATAATAATAATAATAATAATAATGATAATAATAATATCAAGGATACTGGATGGTGTATGCATAATGTAAAATAAAATATAATTCCCCACATATAGGTACACTGCCTGCAGGCATTATTAATGTTTATACTTCCAGGTCCGAAGGAGACGATAATCGGATAATCTAAAAATTAAATGTTATGCTCTAAAATATATCTTTATACAACAAGAGTCGTAGGTATGCACTTGTAGCAGCATAGTCGTATTATAAAATATAATCGCACACAAAATGATATGCCTAATTAAATATGTAAAATACAAAATATCAAAATTTGATGATTTTAATTCAACATTTTAAAATAGTTGGATGATACAACTAATTTGACTATTTATAAACACATAGCTGATACCATCAAATATCTCTATAAGAGAGAATATGATGTAATGCTTAAAATGATATGCCAAATAATATGAATAGTGTATTTTTGTACATAAAAACCGTTTCATATTTTATTCTATATATCTAGATTCCACTGCAATAATAATTGAAAGTGCATAAGTGTAAGCGATTGTCCGTTGTCATGAGCAAAGCAAAACGATCAACTACATCATTATTTTCCATAAATGATGGTAACATTTTTACGATTAAAATGTGAAGTTGTCACATTGAAGTTTCAAGTGTATGAGTAACTGAAATACTGCAACTGATTTATTTTATATAACTGTAACACAAATAAAGAGGAAATTTGTCACTCATTAAATATGATATTCATCTGACCTGCATTGTATGATATTCGTGGTGTGTATTTATGTCGATAAAATTTAATTAATGAAACTAATCAAACGTTTTAGTAAATAAAAATGAGTTGAAATCACAAATGTTTAGTAGGGAGTATGTAATAAGTAATATTAAGTCGAATATGACCTAGACGGATAGGTAGTTATAATTTACTTACAATTATTATCGACAGTATATTTTGTAAAATCTTAAAAAGTATAATACCAGATACCTCATATATGTTGTATTATATAGGTATGAATTTGTAATGAATTCAATTAATTCTGAGGGTTACCAGTCCAAAAACGATATGTCCGAAGGCCATTTCCACGTGTTTGAATGGTCAAGTGTTAGAAATGTTATGTTTGACGTGAACGGTTAAGTGTATTATATTAATATTATAGGTATATATATTATTTTTAAGTTATATGAAGTATTAGTGTAAAATATCACTTATAAGTCCGGTGGTTTTTCTTAAGAGGGTGAATCGTTAACATTTTTAAAGAGTTCGTTGTAGGGCATTTTTAGGAAATAATTTAAAAACAAAAACCGATGAATATTAAAAGACGTTTGAATTTTCAATTAATGTTTTTCATGCTTGTTGTAAATGGTACCATACGTCCATGGCAGTTCTACTTGGTTGATATTATTATATTATTAAGTGAACCTTTTCAGTTTTCATCAGTATATCCATCAATATTGTGTCACGTTTGACTCTGCTAAATGGGTTGTTTGGTTGTAGATCAAAATAATTTTATTTTAACTTTATCTTTGTTCTGTAACTTCTGTCAGAGAATATTTTTTACAATAAATAAGACTAAACGATTTATTTTGCACCTCAGACATTCACAGTAATTTTAAATAAAAGTTAAAATTAAAAATTAATTATTAAAATGTGTTTAAATATGTGCCCTAGTAAATTTCTCTTGGGTATCTTTTTTGACTAGTAATGGAATTAAAAAGCTCTATTGAATATATAATGATATAATAAAACAAGAATATTCACTCGGAAAATGGGAATACGTAACGAGAACAAACACAACAGCAATAAATATAAATTAATTAAATGATTCGTATTACGACGAAATTCGGCCGTTCATGCGTACTTCGCGATAGTGACAATAATATTATTAATTAATTTAGTATATAATGTGATAGAAAAAGTAAAAAAGAATATGAATGTTATATTATAGGTACCTACCACTAAACAGTAGAATACACAGTTAAACTTTACGAATTTACAATTTAACTGAACAAAGTGTTTTTAAAATTGTTCTCAAAAGAATTTTGAATCATATTACCATGTTAGAATGGAAATACGTTTCAAAATTACACCATGAGGTA